GGCTCACCCTCGAAGGTTATTGGATCCTATAGGATTGCAGGACACCATGAGAGGGATTCCGGCCGATTTGACTGGCGCTCCTGTCAATGCTCTGGTTGATAGGTGGCTGGCGGCCGCCACCAGGGCTGTTGACACGATCGAACCTAAATGCCCTCTCCGGCGCAGAGATTGCCCTTCGCCCTGGTTTAATCCAGAGCTGTGATCAATAAAGCATAATAGAAGAAGGCTAGAGCACATATGGAGGTGGAACCCGACAAAAATTATCAAATAGGTGTCAGGATCGTGACTAACCTCTACCAATCTAAGGTGAAGGCTGCTAGTCGATCTTACTTTGCTGTCTGGATAAGCGAAGCCTCCAACCAGCCTCTGAAGATGCCAGCCACAGAGACTGGCGAAATGTTAGGAAGAACAACCTTCAGAACATGGCCAAAGAGCCTGAAAAACCCACAACAACCATCGTTTCCATATAGTTTGCGATCTACCCAGAGTTGGTCATAGTGACTGCCCTCTTACTAGCATCTCACCTGACCTATTTGCAACCTTTTATAAATCAGAAGTGCAGGCCATCTACTGGGATCTTGCCTTCTCTTTGAAAACAGTGGATTGGGCTGAGACGTCCAGCTCCCCGTCTTGCCCAATGAGACTTAACCACTTTCAGGCTGTGACATCAGACATGGTGGACAAAGTGCTTGACCGCTGTCATGCCACCACCTCCTCCCCTGACCCTTGCCCAGTCTGGCTAATCAAAGCAGCCAGGCCTATAACATCTGAATGGGCTGCAGAAATAATTAATGGGTCTCTCCAGGAGAGCAAGGTTCCCCTTGCCCTCAAGAAGACACTTATTAGGCCCATTAGGAAGAAACTGAGCTTGGCGGCAGATGATATTGGTAATTATAGGCCCGTTGCCAATGTTTTTCCTCAGCAAGGTAGTCGAGAGGGTGGTTGAGCACGTTATTCTCCTGGGGAGGCTCTCTGAGTTGGGAATCGGTGGCCTGGCTCTAGCCTGGCTCTGTTCCTTCTTGGAGGACCGTCCCCAGAGAGTGCAGATTGCAGAGAGTTTCTCAGCCCCATGGAACCTCAATTGTGGGGTTCCACAGGACTCGATTATCTCTCCAATGCTATTTAATATGTATATGAGGCTGCTAGGAGGGGTCATCAGGGGTTGAGGGGCTTTGTGTCATCAGTACGCTGATGATACTCAGCTCTACATCTCCTTTTTTCCAACAACAGTGGATGCTGTTTTGTCCCTTGAGCATTGCCTGGGGCTGTTCAGCAATGGATGCAGGTGAACGGAATGAGGCTGAATCTGGGCAAGACAGAGGTCCTTCGGGTGGGTGTCCCAGACATCAGTGGTCTGGGAAACTCCCTTTCCTTAGGAGGGAGGGTGACTCTTACCACCATGAGTGAAGTTGCAGCTTGGATGTACATCTGGACCCGGTACTCACGATGGAGACCCAGGTGTTGTCAGTTGTCCATTCTGCACATTTACACCTTCTGCGGATTGCCCAGCTCCATATCTTGATGTGGGGATGCTCACCACTTTGGTCCATGTGTTTGTAGCCTCAAGATTAGACTACTGTAATGCACTCTACGTGGGGCTGCCTTTGAGACTGACGCGGAAACTTCAGATGGTACAAAATGCGGTGGCTAGACTTCTTACAGGGGTGAAAGGTTACCAACACATTTTCCGCATGCTGGCCACCTTCCATTGGCCGCCCATTCATTTCTGCGTTGATTTCAAAGTTCGTACGATTACATATAAAGCCCTAAATGGTTTAGGACCTCGATATCTGGCAGAGCTCCTTCTCCCACCCAGTTCCGCCAGAGTCACTCATTCCAGCGAGGCCACGCGGCTGAGGGGCCTAACACCGAGGGAGGTCCGCAAAGAAAGAACAAGGAACTGGGCCTTCTCGGCAGTGGCCCCTTACCTCTGGAACAACTTGCCCATGGAATCCACCTGGCTCCCTCTCTGGGTGTCTTCAGAAGCAAACTGAAGACCTGGCTATTTGGACAGGCTTTCCCTCCCACTGTATCTTAAATTTACACCTTACCATCTTGGATTTATAGTGCATGTTTATTGGTTTAACTGTTTTTAAATTTGTAATGCCGCCCAGAGTAGACCTTTGGTCTAGATGGGCAGGGTAGAAATCCAATAAAATAAATAAATAAAAGAACCAATATTTTATTCTCAATTGTTCTTCTCTAGCTTTCAAAGCCATGGATTTCTACTTCTCTTTCTCATCTCCTGTATTTCTCCTCATCACTAGCTCCTTCTCCTCATCATTAGCCTCACATGCAAATGGTCAGGTAGAACAGAGTAGAATGAGTCTGGCTGGTTACCAGGGCACAGGAAGGAACCCACACACATGAGAGAGGAAAATAAATTAAAGTGGACAATTGTAGGAGACAGGAAGGACAAGTGATGAGGCAAGGGAATTGCAGCAATAGTTCTATTTATCAGTTGTTTATATTTTTATCCTACTGGACCATCTTTATATTTATTCTTCATCCCAAATTCTCTGTTTTGTCATTTATAAAGCAAGCCTAATTCCTGCTTCAGCAAAAAGTCCTAAGATGCATTATTTTCAGGCAGGCACACTCTTTCACCTCAAATATTTTCACTTTACAGTTGGTATGATTTTGATTTATGATAAGGAACTGCAGTAAAATGTGTAGTTTTATAAATATTTATATAAATATTAAAATTAAAAATGTTGATTTCTTGGTTAACTCATAGGTTTCCAAAATTGTCTTCTCATGTGCTCATTTTTGTACATTCACGTCAGTCAAAATTCTACTATCTACTTTCTTCTTCTGAATTATTCCAATACTGCAGCATATTATTGTATGCAATTGATTTTGTTTTTCATGTAGATGTAAAGAAAAATGTATCACTCCAATGTTAGTCCAATGTTGAAATAGATCCACTGAAAGCAAAAGGACTTAAGCAAATCCCATTTATTTCAGTGGGCCTGCTAGCTGGAACTAACACTAGATTTATCACACATTATATGAGTTCTTTCTCTGTATACATTAATTTGTATATACTTTTGTAAGCATGACAATATATAAAAGGCAGATTCATCTTTAAGAAAAATAATGATTTGGGGACTCTGTTTTCAATTATCTATACTGAAATTATTTATTTGTAATACTATTATTTCCATTTTAATACTTTGCTTCCTAACTATCTGCAATTTTTTTCAGCTGCTTCTCTACTTCTCCCACAAAAGCTGGAAAGCTTTGATCCAACAGACACAAGCGAATGAAACTGCTTAAATCTTCAGCATTCCACCCAGAGTGTCCATATGCAAGAGGAAGTTCAATATTTGATGTCAATACATACTGCAGGAGTAAACAGGTAGGTCAGTTTCTTTCTAGACGTCATGGCATATTTAACAGACTAATATTTTTAGAATCCAAAGAAGTAGCTGTGCTAGTCTGTCTCAACATGTTGGCAAAAGAAAACGGGGGGAAAGGGAAAATATTGTAACACTTTAAAAGCCAACAGTTTTATTGAAGTGTGAGCTTTTGTGGATCAAAACTAACTCTTCAAACATAGAATCCAAATACATGTCATCTGTATTTAATCCCATGGCTATTTGATTCATAGCTAGCTGGGACTGCAAATAACAGACTTGGGGTGTGGCTACACTGGAAATTTAATTTCTGAATGCAATTTTATTTACAGCCTATAATGCATTTGAAATCAGTGCTCATACAGGAGCTGTAGACTGATTTAGCAGTTCAGCATTCATACTGGATGTGATGCAATTCACATTCCAATCCAGAGACCAGCTTCTTCCCTTCCTTCCTCTGATCTCACCTCTGCATTATTTTATAGGGTGTAAATTATAATGATGATGACCCAGAGGTAAGATGATAGGGTGATCTAGCACTAATCTCACATATGTAAGTAACACTACTTATAGACACATCCTCCCATCTTTACACAGGGAAAAGCTCTTATGAATTGGTCTGGCTTGAAAAAGTAGAAACCACCCAGCAACAGAGGGGGGGGGAAGCCACTTTGGGAGCAAAAAGGGCTGGATCAATTCAAATCAGCCATTGCATTATGTAGTCAGTAAAAAAATATTTTGAATTCAGCTATTTTGTAAGTGGAGCAAATCCCATGGTATTTGTCCATGTAGTCACAGCCAAACTGACAATACTTCATTAGCATATTATTATCAAGTTGTTAACTAGCATGTTCTAGCTCAGGTGATAGACAGACTTGACTATCAAAAGAATGTTATGATGTGTTTAAGGGACAGAGGTCAGAGTCAAGGAATATAACTACTTTATATTCACAAGATGTTACAGAAAGCTGAGTTGTTATTATACATAATGTGCTAGGTCTAGCAGGCTGGATGGTTCAGTGGTTTAGGCTGTGGAGTCAGAGGTTGGGAGTTTGATTGACTTTGCTTCCTGCAAGTACAGTCAGCCTGTGTGCCTTGGGCAAGCTGCACAGTCCCAGGGCACCTCCAGAAGAAGGGAATGGTAAACCACTTCTGTGTATTCTCTACCTGGAAAACCCTGAAAATGGTTGCCAGGTCAGAATTGACTTGACAGTACATGATTATTAGTATAAGAAGTCTAGAGCTCTACTGAAGGTCTTAGATATATACTGGAACTTATTTATATAGCCAGTTTCTGCTATCTTCCTATGTAACTCCTTCTTCCTTCTACAATAGCCAACCTACCAAAGGACCTTGTTATGGACCTTAAAGTAGCTATTTGGAAAGTGACATTGAGCTGACATGGCAAAAGAACAGTACATGGGAACCAATGTGTTTAGAAAAGGAATGTGTTTGGCTCTATGTTTGTTATTCGGAAATACTGCTTCAATTACACTTCGCAGATCTAAGTTCATCACTTAATGCACCAGTAATACCTTGAGAGTACAAAAAGTGTATTGTTTCTTAAAAATACTACTGTTATACAGAACATGCTGAACTTTCTGTCCCCCCCTCCACACACACACATAGCTAGCTATTTACCTGTGCTAGCTTTGCCACAGATACTCTTCCTTGTGGTGGTGGAAGAACTGTAACCTGTAAGATATAAATATAAATTCTTTTTAAAAAGCCAAGACAATACAACGAATGCAAAGTATGAATTGAAAGGATTATTTTTCTCTGCTTGAATTCTCCAAAGTTTCTTAATCTAAAACCATATCTCTTGTTCTATGGCTTGGAAATAGAAGTGTCAGCTTGTGTGTACATGTGTAAGAATCACTAGTATACTCAGTCATAATGGAGGAACAGCAAGAGCGGAAAAGGACAGATAAAGGGAAGATTCTCCTCAAATGATATTATCAGAGTGGCTCTTTCCTGCCTTTGCCTGTGTGATTCACAGAGACCATGAAGAATGTATATTACTCCAACTAGGCTGTCTAACTATGGAGTGTATCCTAAGTGATGATCTGAAAAGACTTTTCCATTCACCCAGATATAGTATATGCAATAAGCTTAGGCAAGTTACATATTATGGTTGATAAATGTTGATATGGATATGAAAGCTAATTCCTAACATGCTTTAGCAAATATCCTGAATTTCAGAAGTACACTAGTGAATGCTGATGGACAACAAAATGAAACTATTAGTATTTACCCATATATATCTAGTAAGCATGTATTTATGGCATTGAATGCTGCTAAGCATAAACTCTGTGTAGAACTGTCAGTCCAAATATATGAATGTTAGCACTGACTAATATTTGAACATTTTTTATAAAATTATACATGCAAGGGTGATGACGTGAAAATGAAATGTTACTGCATTCAGGTCAGATCAAAACCTAGATATTTTGTTTCCTGAGGCAAAGCAAAAGATGGTTCTTCCTACTGAGGCTGCAAATAGAAGCCTATTGGACCAACAGCTGAATCTTATTTTATAACTGTGAATCAATGTTGGAGCATTTCTCTTCCCTCTTCCTTGACAATGTACCCTCTAATATGACATCAGCTTACAGTATGTGGCATTGCTGTATTTTGCTCAGCATCTGGCATCTGCGCTTCATCATCAGGAAGTAGGCGGTGACTCTGAGATGGCTCCTGTCTTGCTGGATCTATTACTTGAACAGGAACATAATCAGCAAGCTTCTGCACACAGTTATGGCAGTGCTCCTCTGCCTGTGATTTGGAGTCTCCCATAAACTGAACACGAAACATACGGTGTTTGTCCTGTTTCAAAACCACAAACAAAAAATGATATTTAACTTTCATTTAGTTTGATTTATGCTAAATGTTCCATGTTTATTTTACATGCCTTTTTAAAGTCACACTTATATATCACACATACTGTACGTTTTAAAAATTGTTACCCCGCATATATTTCAACAGCTGTGATATTATGCAGCTATCTTTTCTAACAGATTCTGAACAGATGCTAGAAATAACTTGCATGTCTAATACTTGTTACGCTCACTTTTTATGCAAATTCTTTTTTCAATAGATTAAATGCATTCCCCAGAAAGCCAGATAATGTAATGCACATTTACATATACATTCTGGTGTTATAGGATCACCTTGGCCTGCTGTAGAATTTTCACAAGAGTTCTACTGACCACTCTGTTTCACAAGAGATCCAGATGATCACTCTGGATCACTGGCAATAAGGTACAGATGAGAAATTGTAACAAATAATAATGGATTAGATGCAGAAAAAGTTAGTGATACTTAGATCCCACTGTAATAAATATGTGATAAATTAATAGCAAATGAGAGTTGCAACAAAACGATGTAGTCCTGGACGTTCCTCTTCATTGTTCTAGTTAGCTAGAACCTTCTCCAAGATACTCCATTCTGTCTCTTCCAATATTTCCTGACCCTCTCCTTGGAATTCTGTGATCACCAAGTATGCACACTGTTCTGCTTTATGTATCCTTCCCACTTCAGTTATCTTCCTAAAGTGTTTTGTACTTCTGTAAAATGTGGTGTTTCTCAGCATATGCATACCCCCTTTTCAAAATATCTGTAAATCATTTGGTTTTCCAGAGAACTGAGATCATATATTTGTGTAAGGCAGGGTGATTAATATTTCACATTCATTTTTTAGAGATTAAACTGTGATTAATGTCTTTCAGATCTAACCGTGAGACTGTCTGAGACATAGGAAAGGAGCTGCTCTTCCCCTTCATATCAATGTAGCTTTTAAGACCATTGTTAGACATTTTGGGCTGATTTGGCTGACATGTTCATTTTGTCAGAGAGAATATTCCTTACTATGCAAGTATATGAACAAAAATATGGTATGAGTTGCTGGCCAAAATCCTGTTGCCTAGCATAGCAAATCAATGGGGATTTAACAAATCAACTCCTCTGTAAGTTCCATTTATTCAAATAGGCCCAATCTAACTGAAGCTTACTAAGTTGCAGTGAGAGTATGCCTATTTGAATTAACGGAACATGAAGGAGTTGACTCACCAAGTCCTCCTTGATTCAATGGGCCTACTCTAGTGCATTTTACAATGCTAAATTACCAAACTTTGTCCTATAATTCTTGCAGCTAGTATGCTTTCTCAGTGAGTCCTTTAAATACATGGAAATAAGGGTCTGAGTAAATATTTTAAAATTTGAGAAATTTATTTATTATATATTTATTTATTTAAAATATTTTTACCCCACCTTTCTCCTTGAAAATGCATATTACTGAGTAAAAATGCACATAATCACCAGATGACAGATATGAACTCTTTGGCAAGCTGCAAAAGAGTGACCAGAATCCTGTTGGATGTTTACAATGTCCAAGAAAAATTAATTGTTTGAGCCCAGCACCTAGTCAGGCATGGCAGTGTTTGCAAGTCGACTTGTGGATTTTACCCCACCTTTCTCCTTGAAAATGCATATTACTGAGTAAAAATGCACATAATCACCAGATGACAGATATGAACTCTTTGGCAAGCTGCAAAAGAGTGACCAGAATCCTGTTGGATGTTTACAATGTCCAAGAAAAATTAATTGTTTGAGCCCAGCACCTAGTCAGGCATGGCAGTGTTTGCAAGTCGACTTGTGGACATTTAAGTAACCTACAGTGTGTTAAATTAGCCACTGTATTAAAATACCATTTCACTTGTAATTTGCCACCTCAAAAGCAACATAAGCTTGTTAACTAACTCCTTTTGCAAGGTATATCATGATTATTTCCATATTTGTTTTAAACTTTTTTCCAGTGAGATAAGAGTTATAGAAACAGCAATGCAAAATTAAAAATTAGAGACTTCTAAAAACTTACGAACAAAAACAACATTCTGCATGTCATCTACCTGTATTTGCTCAAGATATATTCAGCAAGATATGTAGAATTTTTGAGAAACGTGGTTTTGTTAATCCAAGTATACAACATTAGTTCCCTGATATGTGTACAACTTGCCAAGTATTATGAGTGGTGAGAAAGTACTGCTCTATATTTTCATAAGAGGAAACAGACTGAAATTATTTCTTTCATTTGCACTCTATACCAGATATTTAGACCTTCTAGATATAGGAAAGGCACATGCATGCCTTGAACTACCCATGGTTTAGTGTACGAAAAGAATTCAAGGGCAAAATGAAGTAGAAAAATCCATCTGGTCACCTGTTTTAGTAAGTCTGCAAACAGAAATATAAAGAAAAGTATGCTTGCAGAAAAGTATTTGTTGTTGAAACAGCATACCTTTGCCTTTGAACCAAATAGCATACTATCTGCATTTCTTACTATCTTCAACCACTGAGAAGCATCAATTAACGAAAAACCTTCCTGAAACAAAGGCAAAAACACTGTTTAATGTATCTACTGAAAAATCTGTGAAGTAGAGCATACATAATTTAAGTGAACCTCAGAAAAAATAATACAACACAAAAATTTGAATCCTCTTAATTCACTTCACTGCCATATCACTAGGTAAAACTACAGTGTCTGGAATCCTGTTGTTTAATGTAGGAAGTTGCAGTATAGCAGACCCACTGAATCAATGAGGATTTAGTGAGTCAACTGCCCAAGTTCCATGGATTTGTTGTCCTTGGAGGTCATTTGAGGGATTTGAAAGTATTTTTGTATTTATAGTTTTTAAAGTTCCAGTAACATTATTTATTATATATACATTGACCATTTAAAAAATTGTGACTGCAAATGTAAAATAAGCAAATGACTGTCCTAAATAGTTAACTCTTCTATTTCTTATATACACTTCATAATTGGTACTGATTCATAGAATATTTTATATAATACTTTGGTATAAAAAAGCTCAGATATATGCTTGCTAACAAACTGGATTCTTAAAAAATTGCTTGCTAACTGAGAACTAGATCTGAATTGCCAGAACTGGAGAATCTTTATTTCATTTCCCTATGGAAATAAGACATATCATATTTGGTAAATTATACATAGGAACAGTAACAATAACAATGTTGAAACAATATATAAGAGTTCATAATAAAAGCCATGTGGCCTGAACAATGATGAGTATTAGAAGTTTATATTGAAGATTATTCATTGCTGCATTCTGATGTTTAGGCTGGCTGCTGACAGATTACAGGATGCTGCTGAAGTGCCTCTCTGCTAGCAGAAAGGAAGTCTACTCCTAGAGGGACCTTGGAAAGTTACTTTTCATGAGAAAAAAACGTTATGACATGGTGAGCATATTATGACATGCTAGTGCTACCGCTACTGAATAATGTATACTTTCATCATCTAATTACACTCATTCTTTTTGAAAGTAACTTTCCAAATTCTCCCAGTGGAGTGGCATTTATGCTTTGAGAGAAGCTCCCAGTATACTCACAGGAAATGTTCCCAGCATTAGTGTGCTGGTAGTGTCTTGGAGGTTGGGGAAGGGGCACCCAAAGCATACACATTTCCCCAAAGGGGCAGGGTGGGGTAAAGGAGCCCTGGAGCTCACATAGTGTTTTTCCATTCCACAGGTTCAATATAAGGATAAACATGCCTTGTAAAACATAATAGCAGGAAGGAAGAGAGCTTCAGCTTCTTTTGTGGCTGGCACGAAGCAGCAGGGCCTAGTAAATGTGTTACCCCTGCACCAATTCTGTTTTACGTTTATCTGCATTGCTGTATCACATTGCTGTCAATGGGATAGAAAATCACTCTGCCAGTTTCTTGGCTAGGGTAGTTTTTTTTCCCCCCTAGTGAATGCAAGACATCCCCAACCTATCCCCAGAAGGCCCTTTTTCACCCCCTACTGAGGCTGTTGGTACACCTGCTTTTAACTAACCTACTTGGATCTCCTCCATAGGGTTTTAGGTGTTCCCCTGACAGCACAATAGCAATTCCTCAACATCTTATAGCCCACTGGCAGCTGATTGATGGATTGTTTAACTGCACAAACTGAAAAATGTCTACCACATTCCTTATGAACCACTATAAATTTAAGCAGTACCTAGATAATCACTTTATCATTTTTTTCAGTAAACAAGACCAAATTTATAAAGAGAGATAGAGAGATAGTATTGTTCAAAACACATAAAATGTTTGAAAATGAACACATACCAGTACTTCCTTTCCTCTGGAAATGAAGAAATGGCCTGAAATAACTATGGTGAGAACAAGAAAGCCAGATTCTTTATTTGACTCCAAAACCTTTTTTTGTAATTAAAAGAGAGAGAGAAATCCATTTAAGGAATATTATAGCAATAATATATCATAGCAATAATATATAAAAAAGAAAAACTTTACAGATGGCAAATCCATAATCATCTTTCATTAAAACTCAGTAATGCATATATAAAAAAGTACAGTTTGTTGATGCCTATTATAATTGTAGGCCAGTGCCCTGTTAAATATTTCTGCCCATGGAACTTTGTGAAAACTGCCATGATGGAATAAGTCAGTAATTGTTTCTTGCATAATCTGTATGCCATAATGGCATAAATCAGCCATGCAATCAGGACATGAATGGATGTGCCCAGCAGCTCATCAGATCACCATGGCAGCTTCGACAGGTAGAGTTCTACATGTGTAGTATTCAATGAGATATTGTCCATAACAACTGCATTCCTTATTATGGGTAAGAAAGGAATGTTATGCAGCCCTCCTCCTATTCAGTTATTACAACTATTTACATCTGCTATAGGCAAACAGTAAAAATAGCCTTGCACTGTTCAAAAACTGAACACATGGTTAAAGAAACTCATGTGTGTTCCACAGCCCAGATCATGAGTGACATCCTACCCATAGGCCAGAATCCTGTTAGTTGTTTATGTTAGTAAGTATAAACTGTAGCAGTGAATTACCACTTGAGCCACTCCTTTTGTAACTTGTCACATACTAATTGCATGACCTGGTGAGTGACAAGGCATACAAGTGGTAATTCATTAATTAGCATCCATTAGGTGTTGCAATGTACATCACAGTGCTTATACTGTAGGACTGTGGCCATTGTGTGGTGTTTAGATGAGTTTTGTTTCTGCACTTAAATAGTGACTTATAACTCGTCATTCAGACTGCAACTATTGAACATAAGCAGGAGAGATTTAAACCAAATAGTTTATTTTAATCTTCTCCCTGCATGAAGGACAGCTAGCTGGATAGCTCAGTGCTTTAGGTGTCTCCTAGGAAAACAGCCAGCCTGTGTACAATTTGATAAGCTTCAGAGTCCCAGGGTGCGCTCAGAAGAAAAGAATGGTAAGCTACTTTTGTGTATTTTCTAACTAGAAAACCATGGGAAGGCTCACCACAAATTGGAATTGGCTTGACAGCATATATTATTATAGAAAGATGACAATTGGGAGGGAGGACTGAATTTTAAAATAAAATCAGTTTTATCCTGAGTAGAGATGGGGGTATTCGTATACGAATATCACCACACAGATGGTATTAATGAGGGTCCAGCTCCATTGGGTTGGATGGTCCACTCACCGATCCACCACGGATGCGGATGGCATGATTCTACCAATGGCTCCGCAGTGCACTATCCGCTCGCCACTCTTCAACCTAACAACAACGCTTGTCCTCCCACCTCCTGCCAGGAGTGGCGAGCGGATCACGTGCTGCAGAGCCATTGGTAAAATCACGCCATCCATCTCCGCGTCGGCTCGGTGAGGATCTCGTTAATGCCACCCATGTAGGGATATTCATATTCGTATATGAATACGAATACCCTATCTCTAATACTGAGCTTTGAAGAACTCTTATACAAGCAAGTTTACTTCTTGGATAAGAAAAATCTTGTGGCAATTCAATGCCCCATTGCCAGCTTCCTCAAGGCTCTGTAAACTAAGCTTACCTTCCAGGAACCTGAGGTAGGGCCCAGTCCTCCAGGCATGAATCTGCCATAACGTTTCAATGGCCATTCTGAAGCACTGAGGGAGGAAGAAGTGGCCCGTGACTGTTCTGTCACTAGATTTTGGCTTGGCATTAGCTGCTCCACTTCAGAGCATGGAATCGAACTGCAATCAATCCACAAGGCACTGTTATCACTGCTAGTTGCCATCTCCTAGGCTATAGTTGCTGGAAAGAACATAGAAAAAGCACAGCCTTTGATGAATCAACAAGTCAGTAACATTTATGTATTAGTTCAATTAAGTGTGTTCTGTCAGCTAAATATTCTGTAAGTTCTATTTCAGTTGAAAAGGAGACCACATTTCTTGCAAAGAAGCCTGCCCAAGGATCTTTACTAACTGGAGGCATGCATCTACCACCAAACTTACCTCAAAACTATAAATTATGATTGGGCAAGAGCCTGAGAGAAGGGCCTCCTAGAAGATTTTAAAAACCAGACGGAGCTGGGTGTCATCAGTACACTGTTGGCTGTTTTTCAACTCTTAGTTCCCTTACTTTCCTGTCAAATCCATCTGTCTTGTAAGAAGCAACAAAATAGAGACCGTTAACAGTACAATCTCATCAACGTCTATCCAATTTGTAACCTTTTTGAGGTAATTATGCACTGGACTGCAGCCTAACTCATTCTGCCCATAACATCAAATACATATATTGCCAGAATGCTAAAAGTGGTTTTCTTTGCAGATATATATATATCTTTTTATATCTATCTATCTATCGATCGATATAGATATAGATAGAAAGATATAGATAGATAGATATAGATATATAGATATATCTATGATTAAGAAGTTTGCTCAATGAATATTACTAAAAATATTCTCAAATATCTATTAAATGATGCAAAATTTTTATTACAATACTTTTGTGTGTACTAGAACTTTCCGAAAATTGTAAGAAAAAGGAGATAAAAGACATTGTCACACACATAAAATATAAAAGCGTATTGTCACCTGTATAAACTAACATTTCCTATCGCTCCCTATTTCATATGTGTGATCTTGCACAAACTTCATAGAAAACAATACTAAACATTGAGGAAGTAGACTTGTCCATGATCATTTCAAGTATTTGAAAAGTGTTATCATATTACCTCTTTTTCTTCTTTCCTCAAGGCTAAACATGCTCAGTTCTTTCAGTCTTTCCTCACAAGGCTTGGTTTCCAGCCCCCTGACCATCCTTGTCATCCTCCTCTGAATTTGTTACAATTTGTTAGCATCCTTTTTGAAGTGTGGTGTCCAGAACTGGACACAATACTCAAGGTGAGGCCTAACCAGTGCTGAATAGAGAGGAACTAGCACTTTGCCGGATTTGGAAACTATACTTCTTTTAATGCAGCCTAAAATAACATTTGCCTTTTTTGTAGCCACATCACACTGTTGGCTCATATTTAGCTTGTGATCTATGACAATTCCAAGATCCTTCTTGCTTCTAGTATAGCTAAGCCAGGCATCCCCTCCACCTTGTAACTGTGCATTTGGTTTCTTTTTCTGAGGTGTAATACTTTGCATTTATCCCTGTTCAATTTCATTCTGTTGTTTTCAGCCCAGTGCTCCAGCCTATCAAGATAATTTTGAATTTTGTTTCTCTCTTCCAGGGCATTAGCTATTCCACCCAATTTTGTGTCATCTGCAAATCTGACAAGCATTCCATGCTCTCCCTCATCCAAGTCATTAATAAAAATTTTGAAGAGCACCAGACCCAGGACTGAGCCTTGGGGTATCCACTTGTTACCTCCTCCCAGTTGGAGAAGGATATGCTATGTCTACAGCATTTCCTCTGTCAATCAGGGGGTTACCTGATCAAAAAAAAATGAGATCAGATTAGTCTGGCAGGATTTGTTCTAATAATCAAGGTGTTGAACAGGTGTCCCACTGCACCACTATCATTCACAAAGTTACACTACGCAAAGGAAAATTTCAGAAACTGACTCTTTTTTCCCTCAGTTAACTGCTTCTCACACAAACACAAAACAATTGTCAGGGCTGTTTTTCAACAAGTTTGAATGGTAGTGAGCAGAAGAGAATTTCCTGTAGACCATCTTGACTACTGCCATTGGTGTTGTCAACATTCAGGCTGCCCTTTGGTATGTAAAGCTTGGCATACTTTTTCTTGCTGGCAATGCAGGCACGATATTGTGCAGCAATACTGGGCCATTCCCTGCCTTTTTGAATCATGGGAACAGAAGCACAATATCCCACATTCATAAACTGGAATGTTAGGTTCTTCTTTTTTTTTTTAAAAAAGAATTTAATATATTTCTGTTCTCCTTTTCCACTTCAGTCACTCCTGTCTCCCTCTGTTATAAACACCTTAACCCTTCTAGAATATTTCTTCATACCAGCTTATGACAAATACACCAAAACATCAAAAAAATTAATTTCCTCTTGGAACAAAAGAATGAGAAAAGGTCAGTTATTAGCCTGCTAAGATTCCATGTTACAATAAAAACAAATTCCTATATTTCTATTGTAGGTTTACTGGACCTGTGTGTGATACTTGATTTGCATTTTTAGATCTTCATTATGTTCTAGCCAGGGGTCTGATAAGTGCAGCGCTGTGCCCCCCTCCAGCACTTCCATTCCTACATCAATTTTGATTTTGTTTACCAAAATGCTGTCTCAAATTCTAGTTACTGCTTGGGGAACAAATGGCTCTGGTGGACCTAAAAAAGACTGGAGGAAGTGGTTGGTCACATCCCTCTAGAATGGCACCGGCCATTTTGGGCCAAAATAACTATAGCACTAGTAGTAATTTATTAAACTAAAATCAGGCTAGGAGCACAGACATCAGACGGTGGGTGCAGCCTTGTGAGGTCAAGAGTATAAATATAACCTCATTCTATAAATTACCTATTCTTTCTTTAGCCTTTTTAGAAATGTTGGGAAGAGTTGCTTGTAGGTGACAGCAGCATTGCAATACAACAGAAATCAGTGATTGAGAGTGAAAGGGATGATAGAAAGAGTCACAATAATCATAAATTAATGATTAACATTAACATATGTGGCACTAATAATTCTACAGCTTAATAAAAGCACTTTTAATATTCTACACTATTTGCATGCAGTGAAACTGGAGCCGGAGAGAGTCTTCTCAATACTTTTCAGTGGCAAAATTATCTTAATCTTAGATAAAACTCAATGGCTGGCTGATACAGTACTGTTGAATAAAATAAGCTAATAGGCTAAGATAGGAGAACTGAAAGAAGTAGGGCAAAAATCACTGTTTCCTTCAATGTTAAATACAAAATAATTTTAGTCATTTAAAATGGGTACCTACAGATATGGTTGTAATTCTCCATCCTACTCATGGTTGACAAAAGTATAAATGCTATTTTGTTCAATATGCTCATGGAGAAAGCTTGAAATTCTCCAGAGGTTCTGGGTAAGTTTTATTTAAAAATCAAGATTTTTTAAAAAATGTCAGTCCATCCATCAATAACTCCAAAGTGCTTTAATAAACCTTTCCTCTGCTTTAGTTTTAATTCCTATCATAACTCTGTGACAGGGCATAACATCTGTAAATTATGCTTCTGTAACCTTGTCTATCAGTGCTCCCAAGAGGATGCTTGCAGTGTGTTTTCAGAATCATAAATGCTCTTCAAAATAAAACACTGAAGGCAAGATAAATCCACAGTAAAACACAGTTTTCATGTTTGCTATAATTCCTGACTCTTAGTTCCCTTACTTTCCTGTCAAATCCATCTGTCTTGTAAGAAGCAACAAAATAGAGACTGTTAACAGTACAATCTCATCAAATCATGGGAACAGAAGAACCTTTTTGAGTTTAACGAGATTTATTCCCAGGTAATTATGCACTGGACTGCAGCCTAACTCATTCTGCCCATAACATCAAATACATATATTGCCAGAATGCTAAAAGTGGTTTTCTTTGCAGATATATATATATCTTTTTATATCTATCTATCTATCGATCGATATAGATATAGATAGAAAACGTCTATCCAATTTGTAACCTTTTTGAGTTTAACGAGATTTATTCCCAGGTAATTATGCACTGGACTGCAGCCTAACTCATTCTGCCCATAACATCAAATACATACAGTATATTGCCAGAATGCTAAAAGTTAGAACTAGAACTAGAACTTTCCCAAAATTAGATATAGATAGATAGATATAGATATATAGATATATCTATGATTAAGAAGTTTGCTCAATGAATATTACTAAAAATATTCTCAAATATCTATTAAATGATGCAAAATTTTTATTACAATACTTTTGTGTGTACTAGAACTTTCCGAAAATTGTAAGAAAAAGGAGATAAAAGACATTGTCACACACATAAAATATAAAAGCGTATTGTCACCTGTATAAACTAACATTTCCTATCGCTCCCTATTTCATATGTGTGATCTTGCAAAAAATTCAAAGAAAACAATACTAAACATTGAGGAAGTGGACTTGTCCATGAAGGATCACATTAAAATACAGGAGTTAGTCTTTAAGGTGAGCCAACATTTTTGTCTTCTTTATTTTTTATTTGTCTTTTGTTTTTGCCTGATACGCTAGCACAGACTAACAGGCTACCTCTCCTAAAAATGCTAAACATTGAGTCACATATATCCTGCCTAGGACTTTGCCTTAAGACTTAGAGTTACCTAAATTGTAAATCAAGCATTTCAGTCTGATCGTGGCAAGAAAACTACTGGTTTTAACTGATAAAGATACAGGTTTCAGTCAATATGCCTAAGCAGCTGCAGCTGGCCTTGAACTACATTGTAAACATGAGTGATTACTACACTTGTGCAATTACAGGTTCCCATGCCACTTCTGAAACTAACTACACTTTCTGGATTCATATTTTTAAAAATTCTATTGAATTCAAAATAAGAGTGCTTTAGCTTAAATTCATACCAAAACTTTCTCTAAAAGCAAAAATGACAAAATGGAGGCTATCATACTCTATCACACTGGAAAGGACAATAATGCTGGAAAAAGTTAAGGCAAGATGAAGACCGGATGAGATGGACTGACTCAATAAAGGAACTCACAACCTTGATTTTGGAACAGCTGAGAGGGACTGTTAATGATAGGAACTTTTTGTGGTGGAGGGATTAGTTCACAGGGTTGCCATAACCCAGAAGTCACCTGATAGTATATAATGTTACCAGAAACTTTTTTTTCTTTTTAATTCAAAAACAGGTTCCTCAATACAGCTAGAAAAGATATTACAGGGAAATGCGAAACCTTTAAAGCACAAACCATCATCAGAATAAGAGAAATAACTAGGTATATATATGTGTGTACGTATATTATATATATATAATTCTTTCCTGAGGTAAAATGAGCTGAAGCTTAGTGGGCCTTCTTTAAAACTCTCTTGAGAAAAGGGACCTTATGCAATCAAAATCCCTAACAATCTGGATTTTTTCTCAGCACTATCTCCTCTATAATCTCTGATGCCTGGACATGTATTCAGAAATCCTGTGTAATTTCCTCAGATCAGCCATAAAAAGCCAGCTTGCAGCCAGTTCTTCATCCTGTCTGAGATTACACCAAGAGAACTAGGAGAGGATTAAATTACTTATTTTTTTTCCTGTCTTTCTTAATGCCATCATTAACAACTGCCCAAAAAAGGACCTAATGAGGTCTAAGTTAAAGGCTGTGTGAGGTTCCTTATTACCATGCTTAGATTCTCCTTCAAGTCTCTGTTGTTACATTTCTCACTTCCTTTACTCTGATTATCAATTCTGTTCATACATATTTTGTTTTTCAAAGTTGTTTAGTCATATGTTTATTTTATTAGTTACATTTCTATTCTGTCCGTCTGTCAAAGGAGTAAGATGTTTCTGAAGGCCTCTTCGAACAATATAGATTTTACTGTTTCCTAATGGCCAGAAGGGGGGGAATCCTGCTGTATATACATTATTATGCATTGTTTATATATAATCTGTTGTTAGATAGCTGACAAATATCCTTCATTAACTCATAGGGAGGAAGTGGAGATACAGTACCTTCAATTGGTATGTAAGGAGCTAGGCCCACTGAAACAAGGAATTATAAGGCAATTTAAAAATATGCTTCATATATGTCAAAATTCCAACACTGTAAATAGATTTTAGGGTTGAGAGGTCTGTTTACACTGGCTAAAGGCAAGTGCTGCCCCCACTCTCGTAGTTCAGGTAAATTTATTTATTCAGGCCCTCACTGATTTGTTATAAATACAATCAGAAACAAGCATACAAAAGCCAACTTTCCTCAAGCAAAGCCTGCCTGAAAAGCACTTCAGTGTGTGAACCTTTTTGTTTGTTCCTTTTTGAATAAAATGGGAAAGGGCCACTGGGCCTGCAATCCTTTACCTGAGGAAATCAGAGAAGGATAATGGCTCCAAACCGATTCTCTGGGTACAAGAGTGCTCTCTGAGCCACCAGCTCAACCAGAAGCTGGATCAAGCCCGATAGGCCCCTCAGCTGGATTATAAATGGGCTCTCCACCTACAACATATTGCTTGGAGTTTTACAGAAAGCAGATTTGTCTGATGGTGTAATGTTCATGACTTATTACTATATATCAGGGTGAAGGAATGATTTACAGCCCTGCTGGGGAACACAGAGGGCCTGATCCAGCTCCTAACTGAACTGTTCGCTCAAGGCACACTCCTAAAGCCAAAGGTCCAGCCCGAAGCCACTGTGATAAAACATGGTCCATCAGATTTTTCACCAATTGTTAAAGGTAAAGGTAAAGGTAAAGGTTCCCCTTAACATTTTCACTCCAGTTGTGTCCGACTTTAGGGGCGGTGTCATCCCGCTTTTCAAGCCGTAGAGCCAGCACCTGTCCGAAGACAGTTTTCCATTGTCACGTGGCCAGCGTGACTAGGGAACGCCATTTTACCTTCCCACTGAGATGGTACCTATTTATCTACTTGCATTTACAATTGTTAGTTTGCAGTAAAGAATGATGGGAAGCATGTCATTCTATCAGCTCTGCAGTAAAATCAGCTCCTCTTCAACTATTTAGATGATCACTATAAGGGTTGCTTTTATGATTTACGAACTAGCACTGCGGTTTTCTCCCTGGCCTTTCCTTCTCATCCTCTTTTCTTTTTGTGTCTTGTTAGGTTGTAAGCCTGCAGGCATCAACTGTCTAGTATTTTCTTGATGATACATAAGCTATTCTGGGAGCCTTTCAGGTTGAATAGCAGGATAAACATGCTTTAAAATAAATAAATTTCAGTATGACATTTATTTATACTTTGGCTTGTGAGCATTTCTGGGCTATAAAGCAAGATACAAATGTGTAAATATAACTTAAAATTAAAATATAAACAAAACGAAACACGAGAATACAACTAATTTTCTCATAATAAATGGGTAAGAAAATTGCCAGAGGTCTCAAATGGGATTCTTTCAAACTCCACCTCCAAGCTGTCTCCAGACTTATATGTACATCTCTTCTTCACAACAGGAATCTCTTGGACATTACTTGTAGAAAGATTCACTTCCCCTTCTCTTCCACACAAATCCGTGTGTGTACCATGGTAAACAATGGCATTAATTTCTGAGGATACGTAGATAATGGATACATAATGCCCAGAATATTTCAAAAACCTTTTACCATGATTATTATCACTACATATTATGATAATACAGTAAAGATATTAAAGATAATACAAGGAACAGCTGCCTTGTATTGTCATGTATAAGCAGTCTGTTTTGGGAGCAAATAGCTCTGGGGGCATAGCTGAGTCAGAAAAAAAATATATTTTACATTCAAAATTCCCCAGGTTAATTCCTTCACATACCTAAGGCAGGTTTAGAAAGATTTATATCTGAAATGCTGGAGAGCTCCTGCTGGTAGGCTGCATTACAATGAAGTAAGTTTTGTTGATTATATGTAAACAAAAATGGCCTTATATGGCATAATACTAATATTTCAAATTTTGCTTCATTTAAAGTTTATTTGTAATGAGAAAAATAATCACTCACTGGGAATAATCTTGCCGATGAGTACACTGAACAGATTTTATTTTTAAACTAATTATTCTGAACACCCTTGTATTCAGAAAAGAGTCTTAAACATTATGCTAGGTAAATGAGTGAAAATAAATCAAAGTATTCCAGACTTTTTCCCCCTTCAGGGCAAACAAGGTTCTTCAGGCAAAATGTAGTAAGAATACAGTATTTGAATAAATTAGATGAAAGGTCTTGGGAGCTGGGGGGGCAAAGGTGTACTCTAGGGATGAAAAAAGGAATTCAATAAATCAAAATGGAAGGTCTGGCAAAGGTCAGCATTCAACTAATTTATTAACAAGGAATAAAATTGGAAGCAAACATATGAAAGAAGTCCAAGAATAGGTACTGTATTTATGAGAAACCTGGAGGTCTTTGTTGTTAGAGGTTAAGTTACTAGTACAAATTAAGGCAATTGGAATTTAGATGCAACGTTAGAGGTTAAGTTACTAGTACAAATTAAAGCAATTGGAATTTAGAAACACATGAATTATAAAGAGCAACTGCAAAAGAAATAGGCACTTCTAATGAATATCTGAAAGTAAATACATAATCAGAAGGTATGACAGTAAAGCCATGTGGAATAGAATGAATACACTGAAATGTCTCACTTGGTGAGGTAATCTTCAAACTAGTGACTTATTTACGGACAAAGAGCAATGCAGAATATGGTGAGGTAATCTTCAAACTAGTGACTTACAGTATTTACGGACAAAGAGCAATGCAGAATGCAACCAGTGTTCAAGGAGGCAGGATGCTGTTCTAGTGCTGACTAAAATCAATGTATCTACATGGTGATGTGCTGTAACCACAGAATTCAGGAACTTTCAGGATCCAATGTCAAAAGGGCATTAGATCCTGAAGGGTTGAGAATTTTTGGAATTTGTGAACTACAGCCCCCAGATGTCTGCAGAAATCCCTCAAGCCAGACTTGGGGGAGGGGCATTTAATCAAGTAAACAAGATCTTAACAGGTGTTCTCATTTTCTTACACCTGAGCAATTCAGACTCCAGCAGCAATTTTTATCCTGTGAAGAAGGTAGAAGAAATGGGTATGCAAAGCTTTATCAGTGTGACAATCCCTCTCCACTTGATCCACAAAGGCTCACATTAAAATATAGCAGTCTTTAAAGTGCCACAGTGTTTATGTCTGTCGTTGTGTGATATGCTTGCACAGACTAATATGACTAGTTCTCCAAAAATTACAAACTAGGGGTGTGCTCTTTCATGGTTTTTGACTGCAACTCCCAGAAATGCTGCTGCAATCCCACCTGTTGTTAAAAAAAATTAAAGAAGGCTGCTGAATTGTTTCCTGAGAGGAGTTGTTGCTTGGGAAGTACCATCTCTAGAGCTTAGTGACTGCAAAATGATGTTTTCCTGGCCCAGGGCCTCTCTGGTTGGTCACATGATGGTGAGGACTGTTGAGTGACCAGCAGGGCACAGAGGACACCTGAAGGTTCTGAAGAGGGCACCTCCTGAGAACTACAATTCCCAAGAAGCACTGTGGCAGCTTTCTTTAACAGCAGGTTATACCATGGCAGTGTTGAAGGTAAATTCTCTTTTCTAGGAAGGCAAAATGTAGAAGTATGCAGGTTTGTGTTTAAGGGCTGCAGCTCCCAGAATTCTACCTGGGGGTTGCAGTCCAAAAACATGGAAGAGAACACCTTTAAGTAAAATTCAAACTTGTTTGCATCTCTTTGATCTCTAGCCAATTTGACTATTTGGGGATTTTGGTAAAAGGATTTTATACTAGTAATTTTGTTATTCCTTATGGTGTGTTATTTTACTTATTGTCAAGTCAGAACTAACTTGCATTAGTTAGACTCTAATAGGACTTTCAAGGTACCGTAAGTGAGATCCTGTATTTAAGGCGTGGTTTTACCAGTCCTATCCATTGATCCACCCATCCTGGTGAGCTTCCATTTCCAAGCAGGGACTCAAACCCAGGTCTTATGAATTCTTGTCACTCACTCTATCCACTATACCTGTGGTCCCCAACCTTGGGACCCAGATGTTCTTGGACTTCAACTCCCAGAAATCCTGGCCAGCAGAGATGATGGTGAAGGCTTCTGGGACTAGTAGTCCAAGAACATTTGGAGGCCCAAAGCTGGGGACCACTGCACTATACCACACTGGGTCCTTTTGTTAGCAGAGCACAGTGCAGCATGAGGAACTGAATTAAACTATCCAGCAGCCTCATCACTGCTAAGTGCTGCACCCTCTCAGCTGTCAGGTTGCCAGATACTTGGAATCAGTTCGCCAGTTTGTACCACCATTATTCAGCTTTACTTGATAAAGCTGTGAATACAGTTTTCTGTAAACAATTGGTGTATGGCTTCTCTTCCCTAGAACTATAGTTGCATACCTAAGTAACTAAGTCACAAACAAAACTCTATTACTTGTTTATAGAAGAGAGAACATTGCTATCTGCCAATGTATTTAGTAGTACTAATGTTAGATTTAACAGCATTAATTGATTGATCATTGCCATAAACTCATCTTGGAACTTCACCCAGAAATGTAATACAGTCAAATTGTCATACTATATAACAAGCCAAACACCTGCTGGTGTAACTATGCTTGTGGAAGGGTGATAGCATTACGAGCTGAGGGAGATTTTCAGTGATGAAAGACTTCCTGTTTATGTCCCACTCCTCCCACAGTTCTCACACAATCAGAAAAGCTGCAGGAGAGAAATCTTTAATTACTGAAAATCTCTCTCCCACTCCACAGCTGGTGAAGCCAGCACTCTTCCTCAGGCTTAGTTACACCACCAGGGGTTCAGCCACAGAAAAATATTTCTAGGTTCCCACATCTCCTCAAAAACAAGCCTGAAATGTTTGTAGTAATATATCCTAATTTAACTAGGTGAAATAACATATGTACAATATATTGATAATAGTGTCCCCAACCCCTTGAATGTTTTCATTGCCCTAATGAGTTTCAAAGTTCTGGAAGAACAGCACTTTCAGATCATGTTCCTAAATGCATCTCAACCCACTCATTGAATACTGAAATAAATTATCAAAATTTTGTGTGCTGAGGATTATGCCTTTCATCTTGAGGAAAAACTTTGAGCCATATAGCAGCTGGTCATGGGAGGGTATCAGGTTTATGAGTAACAGAACCTGTCCCTTCAGGAAACAGGCTTATATTGTAGCTCCCTTTCCTCTGTGAATGTATATGGTTTCCTTGGAAACTAAACCATTTGGGAAAAGTTGGTGAGTCTACAGTGCTTTCTAGCTGTTGAGTCTAACTGTTTGCTTTATTTACACAGTGCTTTTAAGACAGACCCTTTACAAGTGGTTCTATAGACCAGCGGCCCCCACCTTTTTAGCCCCACGGACCAGCTGGGGAAGGCGGGGCACCTCCCCTGTGCTCGTGTGCATGCGCAAAGGCATGTGTGTGTAATTGTGCTCATGCATGAAGGGCGGCGCAGCGCTCGTGCGGGTGGGCACTTGTGCGTATGAGCAAAGGATGGTGCAGCACACGCGGGCAGGTGGGTGCTTGTGTGCATGCGCAAAGGGTGGCACAGCGCTCGTGCAGATGCATGCATGCTCGTATGCAGGTGCAAACAAGCTGTGGTGGTGGAGTGCATGCAGGGGGGGAGGTCTCTCTCCGCGGCCCAGTCTGGCTCAGGCCATGGACCGACACCAGGCTGCAGACTGGGAGTTGGGGACCTCTGCTACAGACTCTCTTTTCCTAACTTTGATGTCTCTATCTT